AAGGCTTTCAACTGCCCTAATCGATTCGCCTATAAACACAGTAGGTGTACTGTATATATATATCACAGTATTGTCTCTGGCATAGAAGCAGATAACAAGTATGTACATTGTGCCTTCCTAGATCACGTATACGCCTTTGAATCTGCACCTAGACCTCGTTTGTTAAACAAGCCCGCTGCGATACAAGCAGGGTTATGGATTACCAGATGATTGTATTCCTAATTTTCTAACAAGAGGTAGAACACTGTATATAAAGGAAAGTCCTTCACTGCTTTGCTCCCTGTTGACACTATCCTTCATGTGCTGTTCTTTCTAATTCTGTCCTCTTTTTTCTTACATGACTTGCCCCATTCTGACAAAGCCAATTTTCTTAAGTATGCTGATGATCTGGGGGTTTCTTCTCAGTCAGACTTTTCCAAAATAAATAACATTTTATCGGAAATTATTCAGTAATTCTCGTCAAATGGTTTTAAGTTAAATCCCTCCAAGTGTCACACCATTAGTTTAACTTTCAGACACAAGCGCGATTTACATGAACTGGCTAGATTGCCTATAATAGATGACACAGAAGTTGAATCTAAATCGAATGTCAAATACCTTGGACTGTGTATTTCCTCTGATCACCTTCCCTGGTCTTCCCACATCATGATACCTTCCAGAAAGATATTATGTTTAACGTTTTATGTAAGGATTTTAAGACGATCTGGTTTCATTCCGTCTCTGCTGTTACTGTTGGTTAATTTTTGTATTCTGCCTATGCTTCTTTACTGTTCCCCCAGCTTAATCTTTCCTGGGCTAAAGACATTTTATTCTACGTAGGGCATTAAAAGCCGTTAGTAGGATGAGTGGAGTGTTCCCAAACCAACCCGTCAGTACTAGTCTAGATGGATATTTGGATTCCTGCGATGTACTAGCAAACATAATCGCTCCTATCTGTAAAACAGCAACATGCATTTTTTTGACAGCTCGAGAATTAAACATTAGTCTGAACCCTCAACAAAAAATAATAAGGGTTGTACAGATCTAAATTATAAATAGAAAAGTGCTTTTGTTCCTACCATCTAGAAGCCTGTTCAAGTTCTTTTCAAGATGTTACCCATTGGGCCCTAAAGGAATTCGTGAGGCATCTAACAGGTCAGCTTGTCCTACGGGTTCTAATTTTCTAGATCTTTGAATTCACTCCTCCCTTAAAAATATCACCTACATACCTCACAATAATCCTTGTATTTACGCACTATTATGCTCTATTTTATGTTAACTACATCTACCATTATTAAAGCTAAAACTTGCCCTTTGTTCATATGAGTTGCTTGCCCAAAGTCTAGTTGCTTTGATTAAAATAAACACAACAACACCAGTGTTTGAACAAAGCTATATTTTAATCGAAAACATCATAATTTCCATGCTTAGACCAATACGGTTAGCAATACACATTGCAAATATGCACTGTCATTTCAAGTACTGCATAGCTTCTTCTTCTTGTATTTACCTTGTAAATATACTTTCAATAGTGTTTTATTCATAATTGCGTTTTATAACATTTTGCAGCTGCGCAGAATTTTCTTCTCTTCCTGAAATAGCGTCCAACCACGTGGCGTCATAGCACCCACCCAGATATACGCTGTTCACTGCTTGACCATAACTACCAGCAGGAAATGGAACGAGGTTCAGGTTGTCGCTCAACCTTGATGGTGACCTTAGTAAACGGTTTACAATTTAACATTTATAAGAACCTGTTCTGATTGCTTGTACGATAATTGAACAACTCAAACTTTTGAAAAAGTATTAATTTGTGATACTTCAGGATTGTAATTTATAACATTACTGATCGTGCCTGTAAAAATGGCATGCATTTCTTGTAAAATCACCCGTTTATACGAAATATAAATTACTATTTCTTCGGGTAGATGGAGACGGATATAAACAGAGCACCGAATGTGTCCACGTTCTTAGGGCGGGTGATCGCAAAGGCCCAAATATAAGCTTCACTTCCGTCAGCTGTCTGCATCTGAAAGTTGACACTGTAGCTATTCGCAAATATGGTGTTATAACAAACTTTGTTGATCTAGCGCCTAATGGTTCGCTAATATTAATCCATGTATGGGAAGATATCGCCGAATAAGAATGCAAAAATAGTCGCCTGGTAGAAAAAAAACAGAAAGTCAATGGTAGAAGGTAAGAAGTTTTCAAGTTTAGCTGGAACTTTATTTCGTTAGTACCTACAGTTGCCATATAGCAGACCCACTGGTGTTATTTATTCAGTCGAATGAGATAGGTACTGCTGAAAGGTATCTAATGAGGCGGTGTTCCGAGAAAGTGACTCCTCTCACACAGCGAATCTGAGCTGGATCAATTGGTGAAGGAAGTACATATTTACGGGGTTCAGTGTCATCAAACGGATATCTGTCGATTGAGAGTATTCCCGTCAGAGGGAAAAATGCACTTAGTTATTTATAAAACCTGCGTAGTAACTAGAAACCTCAGTAATAAAACCTATGTAAATCCTCAAAGAATAATCAAGCCTTCAGAAAACGTGTTGTTTTAAAGATTACTGTGAGTCATTGTACTAACTACTCATTTAAGGGAAAGTCAAAAATTGGGATATTAAATCTTCTTTTCTTCAAATACCACTTGTAATGGAATGGAATAATCACAAATAATTGAGGGCCTTTACAATATCATGGTACCAGAAAAGAATTTTGGCTACTGGAAAGGAAATATTTCGTTTGGGTTATACGCACCACAAATTAATTGCTATTGTACGTTATCAATTTTGAGGTTTGTTTACAGCGGCAGTTTTGAGCTTGAACACTACCGTTCAGTCTGTTAGGTATTTGGTTTTATCTAGTCCTTTGGCAATATTTACTTCTTGTTTTATAGCCACATTAATGCTTTGTTCTTAAAGTTTTCAAAAATGCATATTGGATGGGTTGGAAAGGTGCATAAAATTACATCATTTCAAATATTACTTCTATGAAATATCTATCTGAATTAACAGTTTTGAGGCAATTAATTAATTCTGGTGTAAATTTGAATATTTTGGCAAAATTTTTAATATGCTTTTACACCTTGTAAAACTAGTTCCAATAACAAGTTACCAAAATTGCCTAAACACGTCTATTATGGGTTAGTGCACAATCCCACATCCACTACATGTACAAGGCTTCACAAATTGTGATGTTTAAAGCATTTGCTGAGGGTCATTGTTGTAGTTGTAACTTTGGTCATATAATTTTTTTGGGTGCTAATAAATTCCTTTATGACTGCCCCGCTTGTGCAATTCGTATCTTATCTTTTCCTCACATCCCACTTGTCAAAGTCTCACTGAGGCCTAATTCTCAGGGAAATTCAAGTGGTTTCTTAACTTTCGGAGATTTTAATGCTATGAAGGAATTCATTTCGTTGCGGCAGCCCGAATTTAAAATAATGGGTGGTACTTTTTGAGCAACTTAATGCAAAATGTTTAGAGGAAATTTTGGTGAAATGCAACATTTGGTGAGTGCCAGATAGCAGGAATCCTAGTTCAAGCACGGTTCCCTGCTGACTGCGTTCATCTTATATATATATATATATATATATATATATATATAAACATTTTTCAGTCTTCAGTTAGAACTTAAGGAAAATTGCTAAATGTCTTATAGCTTAATGCTCTAACTCCTTATCATCGATAATAGGCGAAATGAAACCAATGAAGGTGTAAAAATTGATTATCTTTGAAATGATAACCTGATGTTGATTTTTGTTGCTTCAACTGAGTTGCCTATAACACATTCATGTACCAGATTGTCAACCACATATCCTATGATAATACTACCCATTTGCTCAGGTTGAAGTAGGTGGGGCTGAACACGAACCCAAGCCCTCACCGTTAGTAAATTCAAGTGCTGATGAGCCACGTATCTGTAGTAGTAATGTGGTAAAAAGGATATGTGGAAAAATTAGACACTTCACATATTATTTGATTATTTAATAAAACTTTAGGTAGATAGAAGATGAATAATAAATAATTAGTTTAGTGAGGGTGTTACAATTTTTTGATTGTTTTTATCGCTCCTTAATTCCTAAGTGAAATAATGATCTTTAAGCTTTGGAGTCTCAGTAGCGGTGTTGTTGATGCTACCCTCCCAACACCCAATCTGTCCTGTTTTCTGAGTAGACTATTAGTTGCTCCAATGAAGCAAAGTTTAGGAGTGCGTTGGTTGGGAATCGAACCGTGGACTACGTGAGTACTTGGCGAGAGTCCTACCGTTAAACCACCGATGCAATTGTTTCTGACTGACTTGTTTCAACATAGAACTCTGCACAGATGTGCACCAGTTCAAGTTACCACACCATTTGTCACACAAAGCAACAGAAGAGATTAAAGAGAGTTTCAAAAGACAGATAATAAATCGAAGTTTGATTGGCCGAAAAAGAACATTAATTTTGGAGAACAGTAGGTGTGTAAGACTACAGCACTAGTAGATTGTAATTTCATATTCATTTGTTTATTAAATATATCACACAGTGAAACAGTTTGATTCACTAGATGGCTTCTCAAACACAGTTTATTGTGTTAATTATACCACCTTACATGAGGGAGAGAACACAGACATCTATGATTAAAGACAGCTAATGTTTCGTGTCTTCCACTTTCAATGGCTGCCATGTCTCACTGACTGCCATAAAAGAGGGCAGAGGAAACTGCTGAGCAGTACACACGTCCTTTGATCGATAGTCAGCCGGATATAACTGGGAACAGGTAATTATCGGGATAGAACTGTAGGAGACGGTCACTGTCGTTGGTTCGCCAGTAGGGAACTCCATAGCTGTCACCAATATACTTCTTAGTCTTTCATACTATGCAGTGTTTTTGTAGCTTCTATGGAATATTTAGTGCGATGAGTAGTTTTACTTATATTTGATTGTATATAGCTCTGTTTAATCCTCAACTTTTCTTATATATTTTTAAATTTCATTTCTAGATAGATAGATACCTTTCAACGATAGTGTATGGAATGTTGCATGAATTATTACTTGCACTGTACGGTATATCTGGTGGCATCTTCATTGAATCTACAGAGAAAGGTGGTGATAATGATGACACCGAGTTGGATAGACATTTAATACCTGTGGTGAATGATAATCTTCTCCTTCCTGAAAGTGAACTTAGTCTACAAAGAGAACTATTAAAACTAGGCTCATGTTATAATTATTTAATCAAGTTTATTGAAAAATTTTCAGAGCCTAATTATGGCTTGTATTTATCAGCTTTCGCCTTTGGAATTGATGATTCCCTTAAAGAGTATCGAGCAGATTTATGTACACTGGAGACTGAACTGTCAACAGATAAATCTATGGGTGTTTCACATTTATCTTGTCGCCTACATGCTTACAAGATTTTACTACCTGTACTTGTAAAAGTCACAAAGAAGGTTGAAAGTGTTGTTATCAATCCTGAAATGATGAAGCATACCAATTCATCAAGTTGTCGACTTCTAGATGTTATATTGTCTGCAACACCTCCTGGTCTTCCTGGCCCAAGATATGTTATGCGTAAGGTGGTGTCTCGTGTTATGCAAGTATTCTGTCGACAACTATCTTCATGGCTTATCTACGGTGTTCTTTATGATCCTTATTTAGAGTTTTTCATCAAAAAACTTCAGTCTAATCATATTTCAGATGAGAAGAAGAAACAACAACCATTGTTTGTGATAGATAATCACTGCATTCCTTCATTTTTGCCTACAACATTTGCTCAAAGAGTATTTGAAACTGGTCAGGCTGTTTACTCGGCTAGTCTTAATCCTTCAGAGGCGTCATTTATCTTGGAGTTGGAAAAAGTGTATATTCCACGGTTTACAGAAATATCCACCTGTGTAGGTGAAGATGTCAACGGGATCCAGTCAACTGAAAACAGTTTGAGTAACTTGATAAATGTCAATGAAATTGACAGTCTTGTATGTGATATCAAAAGTGTTGTTTTACATCATGTTTGGTGTAGTGTAATACAGCAGCATAAATTTATTGATTATCTTCGCCTGTTTAAAGATGTCCTACTTTTAGGACGTGGTGAACTGTTTCTTGCATTTCTTGATCAGCTGAATTTTAAGAGTAGTAGTTTTAACAATAACAATTACAATAATAATAATAATAGTAGTTGTAGCAGTAGTCCACAAAGTTCAATCCATTGGGGAGAGTTTGGAGATAATCTGCTGGATCAGACACCGCCAATAAATGAAAATGAAGTGGAAGCTCTTGAATATGATATTACTCAGGCGTTTCTTGCAGCAGCAGCACGATGTCTAGGCTTAGACGATGAAGAATTAGACGATCAATTTAGGTAGGTGTGTGTTGCGTGTTTGTTGTGTGAGTCTTGAATAAAAAGTCACTAGTATTAATTGATTGTTTATCATTCTATTTATTTATTTATTTAGTTTTTAACATTCATGTTACGAACTCACCTGTAGAGAATGATTTGGATTATAGGATGTATTATTTTGTCAATCTGTGTGAATCTATTTCATGCGTATACACATACCCTACCCGTTTTTGATATAAAACTTGGGCACTGTGGTAGAGCATAACTCCATTATGGATAAGATTTTTGTTTTGATAAATCACACAGTGTCGCTGTACAGTAATATTAACTGATGACAACGTTTCGAGCACAAATTATTGCCACTCATAATCATATCAAGGTACTCCTCACACAGCTTTTTTCCTTCATTTATATACATGTGTGGAATCGATTAGATATTGGAATAAAATCCAATATGGGATGATGTACATTCAGAAATAATAATAATGTGAGTGTTATTGATCAATTACAATCAGATGGGAAATAAGACGAGTGTTTTTTATATTCATAATAAGTTACTTGTTAGAATGTTGTGATGTACGTGAATTGAAATAGAATTTTGAGATTATTTATTATCCTCTTCTGATTTGACCGGCGGTAATAATCACTTCCATATTTCTGGTATTTGCGTTGAGTCATTTCTGCTGCATGTGTTGTGTTGGTTGTGTAGACTCGATAAACCAGCATTCAGTAATCAATCTCTCTCTTCACCTACATAGATTACTTCTTAGAATCTTAATCCTCTCCCACCCTATTGTGCGGTTGTGTGTTAATGCATGTGGTGCGATCCCTGAGCCTTTTTCTAAATTGCTTATAGGTTTATAGGTTTGAATGCCACCCTAATTCCTACCTTATTAAGAATCCTACGTAGGGTCTCAGATTTCCACACATGTATATAAATGAAGTAAGAAAGTTGTGTGAGTAGTGCATTGATATGATTATGAGCAATAATTTGTGCTGGAAACGTGGTCATCAGTTAATATGACTGTATAACACTGTGTTATTTATCAAAATAAAAACCTACTTACTTTTAATATCCTGCTGTCGATCTACGGAAGTGTGTACTGTGGAACAGTTCGTTTTGTCCTCCTTTATGGCTATGATACACGGCCATTGAAAGTGGAAAATATGAAAAGACTAGCGGTCTTTAACCACAGATGTTTGCGTTTTTATCTGCTATAGTGTGTAGTATAATATGGCAGGTAATATTGAGGTTAGGTGTAGAGGGTTAGTTAGAGTAGGTAGACCAATCGATGAGATTGTGATTTTACGGATGCCAAATCACTGCCTTCATTGACGAGCATTGGTTAGCCGACATTAGATTAAGTTGGTTGCCAAAGTGTTAGAGGTGGTTAAACCAAAATCTGACATTAGTCCATGTGAAGTCTTTGTGTGTGTGTGTGTGACAGCCACGTAGAAAAGTGTAGATTGCTTGGTGGTTTTGGAGTCTTCGGGATGTTAAGAATCATTGGTTGTACAATAGTGCAGTTGCATTCACACTCTTTGTAATCCTCCTTATCTTTTTAACTCTCATATTTTTCAATGCTTGTCTTTATTCTCTCTGTCGCTTTATTGCGTAACGCGGACATTTCCATTCTGTATGATTGTTATTGTTTAGAATACAGTGATTATTTTTACTATCGTTACTGTTCTATGCATACGTTGGTTTTTTCTTCAAACATGAACTCTCTGGATATGTTTATATTGTTTCTGTACATAAACTCGACCATATCTTTAGGCTATAAGTAGCTAATGAGAAGCTAACGAAATAAATGAGGCAACATTTCGTGAAGGGGAATAAATCTATGAAGTTCCACATGAGTCTGTTAGATTGTGGTGAGAGCTGGCTGCTAGCCAAAGTTGGTAGACAGTAATTGACGTCAGTGTTTATGTCTCCAATATTGGTGGTGAGAAAATAAGAACAAAGACTTTGCGTAGGCGGATACAGTTAGCATTTGGATGATCTGACACAGCCACAAAGAGATGCAAGGTTAACTTTCTGTGAGAAACAACCAATCAAAAGACTGTCTTGTCTACTAACAATAATCTACAAAAATGTACATTAAAATCTATAAATATATGTTGATTTCCCTTAATAAACGATCTGTTGTCTGGCCCTTGTCTTCTGTCATTACAGATAACATGCTTTTTTAGAAAGTCTTTATTTAAAACATATCTATATTGAATTAGTTGTGTTCTCTGAGCTGATGGTTGATGTAATTGCGAAGCTTTCGTCGTCCAGCTTTTAGACAATATCCCCCTTTAGCGCAGGTTTTACTATAAAATGAACTCCTTTTAATTCCCCATGAGTGATGTAATTGTATCTGTCTCTCGAAGACCACTGGCGGGACTGGTTGTTAATTTACGTCTCTGTTGATCATATTTTTATAATAGGGAAAATATTCACTTAGACATCTGTAAAACACAAAATAATTGAGCAAAGAATATCCTTTTCGGTAGATTCCTCTTCTGGCTCTACAATTATATATATGCATGTTTATATACTTAGAATATTGTAGATTGGTAGTCAATAACAATATGAGTGTTTTTTAAATAATATCGATTTGTAAAGTAAGGTCACAATGGAATCACAGTTCATTAAAGATGCTTAAATCATAATAATAATAATAATAATAATAATAATAATAATAATAATAATAATAATAAAGATATAGTTGCAAATAGAATGTCGAATAAAATTACGAAAATTCCACAAAAATTCAGGATCATTCGAACCTAGATGGCCAAGGTAAGGACAGTGTCTGAACCACCTTCTTTTTGTGGATACATAAATTAGGCTTCTTAATGCTGATCCTAACAGCCTCATCAATATTCAGTAAACGAACTCCTAAGGTGAAGTTAAGATTTGTTGGTATGCGGTAAATGACTTTGAAAGCCTCGTTAACATCAATCTTGTGTTCTGTATCTACAAGATGAAATACAATAGCGCTATGGATGGATTTTGTTTGTCCTTTACTTGACTAACCACGCAGGGTGATGTTCGGAAATCTGACGAGAAACACGCCTAATTGTGTAGCCTATGTAACTGGCTCACTCCACAGGAGCAGTTAAACTGGTAGATACACATGGAAGAGGCGAAATTAGGCAGTTAATCTTTTACTCCCGAACGCCAAATAGGGGTGGTTTTGAAGACACAGAGTAATTCAGCAGCAGGGAATGCTCTTTTTACAGCATTTCTAAGACGTTGTGTTAGTATCTCGCTGATGCTGTCCCCAAGGAACTGAATTTGTAAGAATAATGCCTTTTGAGGAACTGTTGGTACCTTGGGCTGCTTCGATTTTATTAACTACAAATCTAGAATATTCTGTGTATATAAACATATGTATATATAATTGTAGAGCTAGGAGAGGAAATTATCGAAAAGGATATTTGTTGCTCAATTATTTTGTGTTTCATATTTTTATTGACTTGGAATTCGAACTTTCTTGTTATTTGATTTACTTTTTATTAACTGGTAAATTTGGTCTGTAATAATTTGTGTTTGTTAATCGCTAGCTGATTCACTTAAGTACCAACTAGGCTTCTAAGAATTCTCTGGCATTACTTTTAGTGTTTTCTCTATTTAAAATTTCGACATTATCCCAATCATCAAATTGGTGTCCATAATTATCCACATGAATTGATACGAAAGAATATATATAATAATAATAATAATAATAATTGCTTTATTCCAAACAGTATTTGTGGTACAGGTATGGAATTTTCAGCGTTCATTACAATATTGCATCTAATTACCTCATAAATTTTATAAGGATTTAGAAATATAAAGCAACAACAACAAAAAGAAAAAGAGAAATAAAAGAAATAAAATAAAAAAGAACAGCATTGCATTCACATATTTAAACAGTGCACCACAGGATACGATATATAAAATTAGACTGTAATAGAATATATGAGCAACAATATAATAGTAACAAAGAAAGGAGAACAAAAGCTAATGGGAACTATTTGTTAGAGTGCCGCAGTAAATTGATCATGTCATGCCTAACAGTTTTCTCATCACATAACAGCTGTGCCAGATAAGGTATTGTGGAGTTTTTATACTTGGTAGTCCTGGCATATAGCTTCCTATAGTTGCTTCTAGTTCTACCAGATGAAATGCAAGGAGAGAGCTGCGTATGGAGAGGGTGTTCGGGGTCTGACAATATAGAATTTGCTAGTTTCTTACATGACATTATATGTCTATCCACAATTGTGTTAACCAGTTGGTTTAACGAAATCCCACTTGCCCTACTAACAGCTTTTAGTGCCCTATGCAGCGAAGCAAAGTCTTTCTTAAGTAGTCCAGGGAAGATTAATGGGGAGCAGTAAAGAGGGATGGGTAGAATACAGGAATTGACAATTTGAGAAAGTAAAGACTGCTTTATACCAGACTGCCTAAACTTCCTAAGGTAGAACGTTAAGCGAAACATCTTTCTAGTCACTAGCAAGATGTGAGAGGACCAGGAAAGATCGGAGGAAATACTCAGTCCAAGGTACTTGACATCTGATGTAGTTTCAACCTCTATGCCGTCTATGATAGTGGGACCATGTGAGCTAGCTAGTTGTTGAAGGTCACTTTTTCGTCTGAAAGTAAAATTTACTACCTGACATTTAGACGGATTCAGCTTAAGACCGTTTGAAGAGGACCACTGACTAATTTCCGAGAGAAAGTTATTTAGTATGGAACAGTCTGACTGAGAGTTGACAGGCATGGAGACAGAGAGGTCATCAGCATACTTGACAAAAGTGGCTACATCAGAATGGGGCAAGTCATGTAAGAAAAAAGAAAACAGAAAAGGAGAAAGAACGGCACCTTGAGGAACACCAGCTAAAGTAAGTGAGGTAGAGGAGGACTTTCCATTGTAGACAGTGTACTGCTTCCTATCAGAAAAGTAGGAACACAACCACTTATTTATCCAGCTCTCACTCTGTGTTGCAGCAAGCTTACTTAACAAGAGAGACCTAGGTACAGAGTCAAATGCAGATGTGTAATCAAGGAAGGCACACCGAACATATTTGGCTCCTCTATCTAAACTAGAGACTATATTATGATATAGAACTACAGCGGCATCTAGGGTACACCTACTATGTTTATAGGCAAACTGGTTGGGGTCGTTAAAAGGCTTTAAAGAGGGTTCAAGATTAAGTAAAATAAGTCTTTCCATAACTTTTAAAAAAGGTGAGGTAATAGCAATGGGTCTAAACTTGACAGTAGGTCCACTTGTTGATTTGGGTACTGGAACAACCTTGATATTTTTCCATGAGTCAGGAATAAAACTTTTGGAAAAAGATTCATTGAAAATGTCAGTTAATGGGTAACATAAGATGTCAGCACACTTCTTAAGGATAACAGCAGGAACTCCATCAGGACCAAGGGACTGGGTAGGTTTGAGAGATTGAAGACACTTGAGGACATCATTCGTGTTAAAACATGAAAAGTAGCGAGCATTTATACTATTAGATTTGGGAATCATAACATCTGCAGGGATACATATGAAGGATTTATTAAGCATATCAACATCAACGGAAGTATCATTCATTATTTGCTTACCACCTGTGATTTCCTTTAATAGCTTCCACATATTAGATGAGGATTTACATGAAAGAAACTTCTGGTTATAGAGAGCATTTAATCTTTGTAATTCGGCTTTTATCAAAGTGTTTATTCTCTTAACACCAGATTTATTTCTCATTTTGTATAACCTCTCTTTTTGACGGCGAAGCTTTTTGAGTTGAGATGAGGCGAAACGGTCGAACTTTAAGAAGATTGTCTCTTTAGGACAACAAACATCAAGACAGAAATTGAGATAATGTGTTATGTTACTAATTGTGTTGTCAAGAGCTTGTTCAGTAAACAGGTCCCAGTTTGTGTCTTTTAACATTGTCCTTAGATTCTGTATGTTATCATGTGAATAGCATCTGTGTTGTGTTTTCTTTCCAAGGTGGGAGAAGACCCTTTTGTGCAGCTTTCCATATACCTTGGGCAATACTCTTATGATGCAGTGATCAGAGTTAAGTAGTGGGGCTCTTTTCCGAGCTTCAAATATTCCTATGTCATTTGTGAACACAAGATCTAGAATATTATCCATTCGAGTAGGGAAGTTGACAATGTTATCATGACCAAGTGAAATAAGGAAATTGTGATCACTAGAATTGAAATCTCCAGTAACAATAGACAACGAGTTTCCAAAGGAGGTGGCAGCAAAGGAGGTAAATTCATCAGCAAATAAAGACAGTTCAGTGGAATTGCATCCAGGTGCAATATAAATGTTCGAGATATATATGTAGTTATATTTTGACAAATGCTTAGGTCGACATTTGACGGTGAGGCAGTCAATGTTGTCACTAGAGAATTTGAAACATACTTTATTAGATGTACACCATTGTGAATTTATGAAGATGGCGACACCTCCACCACGTTTCTTCCTAGAACTGCATCGATCTTGTCTGAATAGTTTGAAATCATTTAGATACACTAGATTGTCATCGTACAGATCATGAAGCCATGTTTCTTGAAGTGATATGATCCCAGTATTTCGATATATAATGGAAGACACAAGTGATTGAAGATAGTTAATCTTGGCTGGCAGGGAGCGACAGTTAGTACTCATGATTGCAGGAACGGTCATAAATTGAATAGGGGTGTTTTTTAAGGCTCTTTGCCACCCGGCGTGATGCTTTTTTTGTCTTTTTTATGGCATTTCCGATCAGTAGGTTTTAAGGATATTAAATACTCACGAGGATAAATAATCCGATTAGAGGACATATTAGAATAAAATTTAATTATTTAAGATAAAATTGGAAGTGAGCAATTAGATGCAATATGATTTGTAATGATTAAGGTATTTGGTAGCCCAAGATTTAAGCAGGCCGCCACGATTGTGTCTTTTCATCACATCCAATTTGTGTTCTTGGATTCAGATTCGAAATGGAGACGCCCACTTTGACCGATTTAATGTTTATTGCAGTTCATGTTGCTGGCTGGCTGGATTCAACATAGAACTTGGCACCGAAGTGCACCACTTCGAGTTGCCACCTTCCAAATAGCACACAAACGTAGACAAGAAGATGAGTGAAGAGAATCAATAGAGTTTCGACAAGTATAAGAGTGAAACAGAATGAGTAATGGTAGAAAGGAATATGAAAGATTACAGAGACTGAATACATCTGCGTAAGCCATTGACAACGATTTTCAGTCATGTCACCTATTGTCTCCAGCCATTGATTCTTAGAGTCCCGAGGGCCCCAACCCGGAAGTCTGCATCTCCCTACCTGACTCAGTTTAACTGTCAGGGATTTCATGGATTGATGAGGCCATGTTTTTGTTTGGCCACCACTTACTCTTTTCCCACCTGCACCTATATCAGCTAGTAATGCCCGTCGGGGGAGGCGATGCAGTTCATGTATGCAGTTTATTTTGTAAATGGTGTTAATTTTGTCTTCTATTTCTGTTGGATGTTTTGGTTTGCACAATATCGAATGAAGTAAATGTGCTGGCTTGTGTGCCATATCTATTTCAAACAGTTTTAATATTCTAGCTGTTATTTCGGAGATATTTTTTTCATATATAGTAGGATGGATTTTCTTGTGGTCTTTGATATTGGCTTTGTTGTTGGTGTTATTATGACTCGAGCTTAAACACTTTTTGATGAAATTTTGAAGATACCTATTCTTTTTTAAGACGGTCGGTTAGTAGGTATTTTTCCCCCATTCTCTTCAACACCGGAGTAGTAGTGCCACGGTGTGTTTGAACTCTTTTAAACAATGTTTGCACACAGTTTATTTTGTGGGGGCAAAGTTAAACTTTAAGCACCACTAACTAACTACTAATCAGTGAATGACCTCGAACGGACCAATCAAGTGAAGGAGGAGGAATTTTTGTGTATGGAATGCATATATTTATGAAAAAATGCATAAAAACTGTAGAAAAGTGTTACAGAGGATACCTTTCTCTCACATGTGATTAAAATAGCTCTCAGTTTTAGGTTGGAGTATCAACAGAGTGTAATTCCATTGTGGGTAAAATTTATTTTGATAAAGCCCCATAATGTTATGCAGTAATATTTACTGAGCAACAAATGGTGCTCGAAACGTGGTCATCAGTAAATATGACCCTGAGACTTTATCAAAATAATAATAATTATACTCTACCACAGTGCACAAGTTCTATTCTTATATCTACAGAGTAATTTAACCCCATTCTATGCATGTAATTATTTAGGTCTTCTAACCCTAGTAATAATCCTAATCTTTTCTGAACCTAACCCTAACGTGAAAATATGCCTCAACTAACTGTAATCCCTAATGTCGCCTTCACCAGGTTAACCTAACCTTAACTTGTCCTTGGCTTAAAGCGTAACTTAATCTTTCCCAAAACTGAGCTGAAACTTGCCAGATATCCCATTTAATACAAATAACACTTCGATTAGCATATTTTAAATAATGATGATAACATTAGCTGCCAGGTTTCACAAACTTACTCAGTGAGCGTTTCAAGGTCATTGGTGTGGTCGCACTCCACTGGTAGTTAGTTAGTGGTGCTTAAAGTTTAACTTGGCCTTTGTAGTAAATGGGGTTGGGTTATTACTACTATAGTTGAGTATTTGTTTTGTGTATGTGTGTTGATTAGAGAGAGAGACGTAAATTAACAACCAGTCACGCCAGTGGTCGCCAGAGGGCTAGTTTCGCATATGCCAGTTTACGCCGTCTCCGGAGTAGGCGTGATATCCGACTATCGACCAAAGGGCGTGTGTACTCCTCAGCAGTCCGCTCCGTCCTCCTTTATGGCTGTGAGACCTGTCCATTGAGAGTGGAAGACATGAAAAAGCTAGCTAGCTGTCTTCGAACATAGGTGTCTGCGTCCTATCTCCCGTGTGAAGTGGTATAATAAGGTGAGCAATATTGAGGTTAGGCATCGGTCGAGTGCCAGGTAAGGAGGGGAAATCAATCGACGAGGCTGTAAAGCTACATCGACTGAAATGGTTGGGACATGTGCTACGTATGCCTAGTCATCGCCTTCCTCGACAATGGGCAATATTAGCTGATATAGGGCCAGGTTGGAAAAGAGCTAGTGGCGGTCAAACGAAAACATGGCACCAGTCAATGAAATCTACAACAGTTAGTCTAGGCCACGTAGGAAGGTGTAGACGTCCTGACTGGTTGGGGTCCTCGGGACGGTAAAAACCAATGGTTGGGAACAATTGGTGACATGGCTCAAAATCGTTCTCAATGACAGCGCAGATGCATGCACTCTTTGTGATTTACGATTTCCAATGAAACTGTTTTGTTCTTCGTTATTACTATTCTTTTGTCTCACACCTCTGTTTACTGACTCTAATATGCATTTCTCCTACTTTCTTCTCTGGCTTTGTGTGCTACAAGGAGGGAGTGTGGCGACTTGAACTGCCTGACATATGTGTAAAGTTCTCTGTCGAAAACAGATAGACAGAAGACCAGAGGGGATGGATACATAAACATCATTCATAGAGAATTTAAATGAGTTCATTTTATACTAAAACCTGTGCTGGTGAAGAGGGATGTTGTCTAGAGAAGGTGGACGACGAAAGCTACACAATTAAATCAACCATCAGCTCAGAGAACATAACTAATTGAATACCATCCCCCTATAAGCTACAAATGGTCTTTTCTGTTTTTTAATTTTCTTTTAAACTTATCTAGAATTTTTATAAAATTGAAAACCACATCTCAACAAGATCCCGCAGCAGCAGCAACAACAACAAACCCTACAACTGATCTAACAGTTTTAGACTGTTTATACTTACAGATTAATATTCCATCAGCCCTCGATTGTCTATTCTCTACACAAATATGTCATGCTTACAATAGGCTGTTTCACTTTCTCTTCTCTATACGTCGAACACAATTAAAACTACAACAGTATTGGGCTGATCAAATTCTTCTATGGCGTCGTGCTAGATCTTCAGCGTATTATAAGACGAAGAAGGGGTCAGGCAGGAATGCTGATGATGATAATAATATAACAATGTCAAATAGTAATTTTGTTCATTTACAATTGAGAATAGGTCGGCGTTTATTAGTTCGTAATCATATGGCATTTATTATTGAAAATTTACTCTACTACTTACAAGTAAGTAAATGTTTTGTTTTTGGTTTTTCACTCCCTGATTTTTTAAATGCTGTATGTTGTCATTTGAATGTACTTGTAAATGATTAACATTAGGTGTGATTTAATTCCATTTGATATGAAGTGCTTCTGATGAAATGAGACGTTCTTTGTGATTTCTGAAATGCTTTTTCTGGATGATGATTTCAATATTGTCAAAATCAATTCTGTGGCTTGATTCTGTAGCGTGTAGACTAATGTTTGATGATTTTTCAAGCTTTTATAGTTCAACTGAATTTCTCGGTGGTCGGACAGATGCAGCTCTACAGTGTTCATTTATTCTGATCACCTTTGATTTCTCGCGATGTTTGTCCGATGTATATCGCATCACATTCCAAGCATTTTGTTTTATAGACACAATTAGGTAGAGAATCTTTAGGGATTTGGTCTTTTATATGGACAAGGTTGCTTTGCAGTGTGCGTGTCTGATGTTTTGAAGAAAACTCTGACGTTTTGCTTATTGAGAGTACTCTTCTGATATCGTCTGACGTCTTTAAATACCGTAGAGGATCTATTCGACCACCGAGAAATCCAGTTGAACCATAGTAAAGCTTGAAAAATCATCAACCATAGGTGGTCGTCTACACAATATAGAATCAGGCCACAAAATTGATTTTGACAATATTGAAATCATCATCCAGAAAAAGCATTTCAGAAATCACAAAGAACGTCTAACATCATCAGAAGCACTTCATATCAAGTGGAATCCAAATTGTCTGAGTTGAATAGGAATGATGGACTAGAACAGAATTTGACCTGGCTACAACACTTCTCTCCCCCATGAAATGACAAAATCAACACGAATGTGATTAGCAATATCATTATATAAACACACGCTGCTTTTAGAATTTTACACACTTATCAAATCCAACAATCCACACCTGGTTTTGTTATCTTTACCAATTGGCCAACTTGGTAACGCAAAAGTGACCCCATGCTGAGTGACGATGATTAAGTTGTTATATATAAGTTGAGATTTTGTAAATTCTGGTTTAATACTACTACTTTTATGAAGCTATTAGCAGCAGCATTAAATAGCGAAACGTCAGTAAATACAACAATATCGTTTTGTTTTTCATTCATTCGTTGGGAAATACAAAAAACCTTTATTATAATGAATATCTTATAACCAATGCACTGTTAAAAGTGAACTTAGTTTGGACATATATAAATTAGTAATTTTAATTGAATTTCTTTATATATTCCCGTCGATTGATTAGACCGAAGTGCTCGGTCTCAGGTTGACATGTCGGCTTCTTGTGCAGATGCTTTGACGATGTCTGGACATCTAATGAGAATCTAATTGGTGGATGATGATAAGCAGTGGAATACACCAAGATGCGCATTTCGCCCTTTTTGGGATTCGTCATTTGTATGTATCTGCATTCCGCAGTGAGTGATGATGTTCCCACCGAGGCTCGAACCCAGTGACCATAGTTTCAAACGCCGATGCGTTATCCACTAGACCATTTGAGCCACGAAATGTGCATCCTGGTGTATTCCACTGCTAGTCACCATCCACCAATTAAATAAATTAGTAATATTTGTTTGTTTTGTTCTACGTTTCTTATAGTCTGTAATTTCCATCATTCTTATTCTTTTTTTGTTGGTTTTCGCTTATTTATACCTTGGTGTATCTGAGGCGATTGGACCTTTGACTAAGTCAGTCCCACATGTTATGCGTGTTAACTTACCATAGATTATTTAGAAATAAAACACAGTGTTCCTTTTTCATAAGTCATTTTAATTTCACTCATTAACGACTTATTAGGTTATAGAAGAAAGAAGTTGTTAGGATTTCCAGTAGCTATATTTACAAGTGGCTTCATCAACACTGTTGACTGTGACGTAATTTTGCAACTACTTAAGCACTGACTGGTTTCACCGTAGAACTTTCCACCGATGTGCAGCGATTCGAGTTGCCACTCTCCCTACATGTGCCACACAAACCAAGAGGAGAGAAATTTAAAATAGAGGTAATAAACAGAAATATGGGGCAAAAGGAATAGTAATATGTAAGAAATCTATAATTTTACTCCATATTGTAAATCTTAAAGAGTGAATGCATCTGCACCAGCCATTGACAATAAGGATTTTGAGCCATATCACCAATTGTCTCCAGCCTCCATTGATTCTTAGCATGCTGAGGACCCCAGTCAGTCAGTCAGCCGGTCAGTCTATGCCTTCCTATGTAACTGGCTGGCTTAAACTAACTGTTATGAACTTCATTGACTGATGAGACCATGTTGTGGTTTGACCACCAACGTGCTAGCTCTTTTCCAACCTCATCAGTCCTATGTCAGATAACACTGCCTGTTGTTGAGGAAGGCGATGGTTAAGCTAGGCATGCGTAACACATGTCCTAACCATCTCAATCTATGCAGCTGCTTCACAACCTCGTCGATTGATTTGGCCTCCTTACCTAGCACTCGACCGACGCTTAACCTCAATATTGTTCAGCTTATTATACTACTTAACACACACAGGAGATAGAACGCATACACCGATGATGAAACACAGCTAGTCTTTTCGTCACGTCTCCCACTTTTAATGGCTGATATGTCCCACTCACAACCATAAAGGAGGACAGGGCGAACTGCTGAGCAATATACACGTCCTTTAGTTGATAGCCTGATATCACTTCTACTAAGCCAGCGGTTGCGTAAGCTGGTATATGCGAAACGAGCTTTCTGTATCCGTTCTGAGATTTCGTCAGGGATCAACCCGTTGGGACTAATGAAGCGGTCAACGCACCCCACCACTTCACTCCCTATTTCTAAGCTAGGAGTGAGTCGCTGTAGCATCATCTTACGTTTGACAGCAGGAGCGAATCGCATGCCATACATTCAAATGTTGCTGCTCAAGGTGTTGAGAAGACTGCATTTTGTCGGCATCTTCACCTAGAAGGACTATGTCATCTGCATATTCTAAGTCAGCGAAATTATTCTCTGGTAACAAGTCAATCCCTGAGTCGCTGAAGTCAGCAGTTAGGGTTGACTCCATTGGTATATCTATGATGAAACTAAAGAGAAATGGGGACAGTGGACATCCCTAACGTAAATCGCTGGTTGTAATCACTTCAGATGATAACTCTCCGTAAGCCCTCACCTGGCTACATGAGTTCAAGTAGAATCTCTGGATCAGTGCAATGTATTTTCTCGGCATTCCATTCACAGCCAAACGTCTCCACAATATCTCTTGGTCGACAGAATCGAATGCCGCCTTTCGGTCAACAAATATAACGATGGTTGGATGCCGGTAAGTATGTGTTTGTTCCAGAATCTGTCGAATGGTGAATATATGATCAATACATCCTTTTCCTGCTCTAAAGCCTGCCTAGTTCTCTCGTGTTTGTTTTCCCCCAATTACCGCTTAGTCTACGTGTGACTATTGAGCCTAAAACTTCAGCACTACAGAGTGCAGTGCAGCGAACATACATAAACCTCGTTCAGACGCTATATGATGATACTGCATGTCAAGTAATTCACAACGAAAAACTCACCGAATCTGTTAATGTGAAGACAAGACTGTCTATTATCATTGATGATGATATTCCTGATTGTGTCAGGCCGGATTATGTGACAGACCGTGAGAAATGAGAATGCAGTTTAACTAGGCAAAATATGGTTTTCAAGTATTGGTGCGTACTGATGAAGAGTCCCAAACTAGGACGAAACAGCTGTCCAGTACTCCCAAGTTTTCCATTAGTTCTCTATCTGATGTCAGCTCATGATGAAATCCTCCATGCAATCAAACAAAATCCCTACAAAAAACCAATACTTGAAAATTAATCTGATGCTCACTAGCGACTGGCCCTATACAGGTGGTTAACCTGGGGTTCTAGTGAGAAGCCATGACCAGTAAGGTACAGCAGGTTGAAGGTGAGGCAGTTACTCATCAAAGAAGACATTGCGAAATGGTCACGCTATGTCATGAATTGGCAGAAGTTAGAATTCAGGGACCATTGGATCGTGTCCCAGTGGCTCAATGGTCTACGAGCTCGCCTTGTAACCAGAAGGTCCTGGGTTCGAACCCTGGTGGTGGGTGCGTACTGATGAAGAGTCCCGAACTAGAATGGAGGAAACAGCTGCCCAGTACTCCTAGCTGGTTTTCCAGTGGTTCTCTAACTGATATCAGCTCATAATGAAATCCTCCATGCAATCAAAATATGATTTAGTGAATTATTTATTTTTTCATCAGGAAGTACTGGAATGGTTGTTTCGTCCAAGTTTGAGGTTCTTCGGTAATACGCACCTGAGATCCCACCGAGAATTGAATCTGATTCTGACTAGTGATTGACAACAGGACAAAGTTTCCTTAGGGGTCTACTGAAATGTTGTGACCAGTAGTCGTTGGCTCCACCAGGTCTGGGGTGTAAGGACAAATACTGATGACCCATTGACTGATGGAGGCACTGAAAGTCACGAATTAACTAGTTAGAATTCATTGGCTTTTCTTGCCTGAATGGTCAACAAGCTTGCCATGTAACCTGATGGTCCCAGGTTTCATCTCGTGTGTGTGTGTTGGGGGTCGTGGTCGTGTACTGATGAAGAGTCCTAAACAAGGACGAAACAGCACTCTTGAAATCAATCCAATCCTTACAAATTAATACTTGAAAATTGTTTTTTTCTCAAATACACAACCTAAGATATCATTTATTTTCCTTTGTCCGTTCTTTATCATACTATTATTATTATTATTGCAGGTTGATGTTATTGAATCACAATTCTCCCATTTACTGTATCGTTGTCAAACCGACCAAGATATCCAATTGATTCAAATCGCTCATGAGGCATATTTAGCCAGTCTACAAGCACAAGCACTATTATTCATGCCAAATGTAAAACAATGTATATTCAATTTACTCAACACTTGCCGTCAGTTTGTTCATATATCAAGTCAAATCGCCTATGACAGCAGCAGCGACACTGGCGGTGTTTCTCTTGAGAATATCCAGTTGTCTAACAAAGAAGAGCATATCATCAGTGCATTTTATAATCAATCGAAATTGTTATATGAGTTAATCAGTATGTCGTGTTCAACCGGTGCTAAAAGCAGCGTTAGCATAAACTCTGCTTATACTCATCGTTTCTCCCGTGGAAATAATAATAATAATATTAATAATAATAATAGTAATAATAATCCTGTTCTGAATTCAGGAACAGCAGATTTAAATCAATTGTTATTACGCTTAGATTTTAATAATTATTATAGTAATTTACCTGAGGATTTAATATGAATGCGAATATTGATTTTTGCTATTATTATTATCTTTTATAAATAATGTCTTTACCATGTATACAATGGTCTATCTTATCATCCGATGGATTATTGATCCAGCATTTCTAATTTAAAATCTTTATAACGTGTATTTTGTTTAAATCATGGAAAATTCCCATTGTAACATGTAGAAAATCAAAACTAGTGATTCAGCGAAGAGACTCATTTCAACGAATTTATCATCAATATTTTTGATTGAACACTAGTCAGTAACTAGTACTCACTAGTGTTCAATCAAAAATATCCAATACAGTCCTACAGGAGGTCAGTCGCGAGCCTGAATAGCTCAGTGGTAACGTCTCTGACTGCAGCACTGGGTGACGCGGGTTCGAATCTCAGAAGGGACATCAGTTCCTTCAAGGTTGCAGATACGCCTTGCTGATGAGTGCCAACTAGCACGAAACCTAGGTCCAAGGCTTCCTGCCGATTGCCGCCAACCATCTAATGCCAATTTATCATCAAGCTGTACAATTGTATATATATGGTGCTTTTAAGAAGTTATATCCGGTGAGGGAATTGAAACATAGGTGTGAATGCATAAAATAATAATAATATGAAATGCAATTAAAACTAAAATGTTTGTCATTATAATCGTAGTTAAATGTCAAGTGGCAAAGCAAATTAATGTCATATGTAGAATAATTCATAGGATGGATAGAACTTGTGAAAAGGGTGTGCAATTATAAGATTAGTAGACAAATCGAATAAAATAAAAAACGTTACGAAATATTGTGTGAAATTTAATAGCATAGAATTTAATGTTGTAAAAAGGAATTGATTTAAAATGACAAGTGGAACAAGTGAAATAATACCGAGGACAATTAAAAGTGAGAGTAGTAATAGTAACAATTGACGTAATTAAGGGAGAGTATACAAACTGAATAGACAAAAATGAAAAATTGGTAGAGCTAAAATATTATTGGGGATTACCATACTTTAGCATAGAGGGATTAAGACCATGAAAGTTGGAGGGGTTGAACGAACTTTTTCTGTACACAGAGATGTGGCTTTTCTGTTTCGATAGCCAAAGATGGCTTCAGCAATACAGATGAGTCGGGTACGTAGGGATTTGGGTAAACTACTCTTTGCCTTGTAGATGACTTTAAAGGCGGAGGCTGTAGAGATAGGGTGGTCATTATCGACCAGAGGTTCTATGATCGCGCTTCTTATTGCTCCACTTCCATCTTTTCGTAACCATGCAGTCTCTTCGCTGAATCATTTGTTTTGATTTTCTATATTTTGTTTAAGTCATCATTTCGATATTTCCCGTTAATTGATTAAGGCGGCTGTCGTGTCCCAAGTGGACCAAAAGTTTGACGTTTGAAACGAAGGGGGGTGGGTTCGACTTTTTGTGTGAGGACACCGTCAGTCCAGTCACTTGGCTGACGATGAGTCCCAAATAGGGTGAAATGCGCTCTCTGGTGGATTCTACTGCAAGTGTCACCACTCACCAAATAAAATCTTGTTCATAAGGTGGACCAACAAACTTCATCATTCAACAACCAGCACCAACCACCATCAACGAGAGAGAGAGAGATTTAAGTGAAGTTTTTTCCTTCACTTATCTAGGCAGTAAGTGTCGTTTCAACTACAGGCAGTCACCACGCATGAAGATGTGGAAGTCAGAATCGGAAAGGCAAGATACGTTTTCACCAACCTGAAAGCAGCTTGGAAATCTTCTACACTCAGTCAGCATAAAGAACAGGATTCGGATTTTCAACACCAATGTGAAGTCGGTCCTTCTATACGGGTCAAAAACTTACAGACTTTCATCAACAGCTACCCTCTTCGCTAGCTGGCTCCATACTGAAGATCAAATGGTCAGAAAGAAGTCTTGCAATGAACGAACCAACAAAGAGCCGACGTCTGAACAAATATGCAGAATAAACTGGAGATGGATTGGGCATACATTGAGTAAACCGTCGATTGATATCGCGTGCCAGGCCTTTGAATGGAATCCCAATGGGAAGCTACGAGTGGGTCGTCGGTGCTAGGGTGACTTGGAGGAGGTCGTGTGAGGAAGAGATGAGAGAGTTTGGGCAATCATGGACCCAGCTGAAAAGGATGACAAAAAATAAAAGAAAGTGTATATGTGTTGTCGGAGCCCTATGTTTCACTCGGAACCCAAGGGAACAATAATAATACTAATAATTTTAAGGTGTACTTATCTGGGTAACCAGTTAGATAGGCTAATTGAGCGACTGCAAGCTTGTTGGCGATCGGCTTCAGCTAGAAATAATGCTCATGATTGTTGTATGGCCATCTATCTTTGGCCACGGTACTTGATGACTCTGTAGTCTGGCCACTAGCTTAAGTGGGCTTGGCTGTTCTTAACACCACCTTAACTAGAAAAGGGAGAATATAACCCCTTCAAAGATGTATTTATCAACGATGGTATGAAGTGAGCACAGAGATTCACGATAATCACACCACAACGCACAGTCACGCTGTTATTCCTTGAAAACCCCGTTGTCTGCAATCTGATCCAGTTGGCACATATAAACAAATTGATTGATCGACCGTTGAAAGCGAAATAGCTGAGATTCAATTGAGTGAATGGAAGAACTTCACTGACCCCCTACAGTTTTATTACTTTTCCAATTTTGGGTTTTTGTAGGGATATTTGATAGTTTCTATAGTAATTTTTTAAAATTAGATATATCACACTGTGAAATAGTATTATTCACTGAATGACGTTTCGAACACCATTGTTCTTAATGATATCAATTACAAGTATACAAACTTTGAAACTTTCGTTTTATAGTTTTCTTTATTCCTTTCTATTGGTCGTGGGGGTAATAAGACTTTCCAAATGTCCGGGTGTACAGGTGATATATCATTCCTTTTACACGTATTTTCAGTTGATTCGATAAATAAAGCTTCCGTTATCAATCTCTCCCTCCACCCTGCTGTTACATTAGTTTGTAAAACTGTCATCTTATCCCATCCTATTGTATGATTGTGTGTTATTGCGTATGGTGAGTGGTATAGCTGAACTGTTCACCAGATTTCTTATCTTATTCGAGTCAACTAATCTGCATTTTGCTAGGTTTTCGTGCTTCTGTAGTCTGATTGACGCTGTTCTACTAATTTGACCTGACGATCATTGCAGGCGGTGTGTTAGATAAACTAAATTGTTTTGTTTTATTGACTCCACACATGGAAGAGGCGAAACTATACTGCAGATTTTTAGGTATCAAAATAGTCACATTTCAATAGTCTTCCTTCGAAGAGTCAAGTGATGCACACGTTGGTGATGCTTCTTCATTGCAAGTTTGTTGCTTCGACGGCGGACAGGGGTTGGAAGGAGTTTAGGTATCACTAAAAGTTTACCAATTAATATATGGTCAACAAAACAGGTATAACTCCATTATGTGGATAAGATTTTATTTTGATAAAGTCTCACAGTGTGTTATACACTCAGTAATATTTACTGATGACCACGTTTCCAGCACAAATTATTGCCACTGACAATCATGTCAAGGCACTCACTCACACGACTTTCTTGCTTCATTTATATACATGAGTAAACATTGATGCGATGAGACATTTGATTGAATAAAATCAATATAAGATGTTAAAGTACATTCGGAAATAATAATATTAGTGTTATCAATCAAATACAATCAGATGGGAAGGGATTTAAGATGTTTTCATAGTAAAATAAATAACTTGCTTGTTAGAATGTGAATTGAATACATTTTAAGATTATTTATTATCCTCTGATTCGACTGACTGGTGGTAATAATATCTTCCATACATATCTCTGGTATTTGCATTGAGTCACTACTATTTCATGTATTGTGTTGGGTGTAGACTACATGAACCAGGATTCAGTTATCAACCTCGGTCTCTCTCCATCTACCTATATTACCTTTTAGAATTTCGACTCTGTCCCACCCACCCTATTGTGTAGTCGTATGTTAATGCATGCAGTGCTGAGTTTCTTCTAAATTACTTATCATCGTGGGATCAATCATTCTAACTTTAGCTAAATTCGTATGTTCTGATAATCTCACTACTCCTCATATACTAGATTGACCTATTTAGCTGATCTAATTCACAGTCACTGCAAAGTATTTTGTAAATTATATTATTTTGTTTAATTGGATCCACTGGGTGGTTTAACCTACAGAGCTTGTCCTTCGTGAGTGAGTTTGTAGGTTTGAACGCCACTCTAATTCCTGCTTTATTAAGAATCCTACCTAGGGCCTCATATGTCCCCTCCTTAAATGGTATAACAGTAGAGATGCCTTATATTCTTTCTTATTTATTTTATCATTATTAGTTTCCCCATTATTTTTATTTTGCTTTCGACCATCTGATTGTACTTCATTGATAACATTTATATTATGATTTCCGAATGTACTTTATCTGATATTGATTTTTATTCAAATGTCTAATCAATTTTACTCATGTATATAAATGAAGCAAGAAAGTCATGTGAGTGAGTGACTTGGTATGATTGTGACTGGTAATAATTTGTGCTTGAAACGTTGTCATCACTTAATATTACTGTATAACACACTGTGTGATTTTATCAAAATAAAATGTTATCCATAATGAAGTTACACTCTACCATAGTGTCCAAGTTTTACACTTATATCAATAAAACAGGTAGAACATGAGAAAATTCAATCGAGGAAGCATTAGATACATATTCTGGTATTAATCGCCACTCTCTATTTCTCAAAACGTCGATTTAAAGCATGACGACGATCTGTGTGATCGTCCATGTAAGTGCTTACACAAAAACAAGATCAAAGCTCGGTAGTAACTCGGTTCATAAAGCGTTAGAAAGACACAGTCACGTTTTATTGACCAAGTGGCATGCGAAGGGATTCAAACAGTCTAAAAATTTGTTGTAATAGCTGTGGCTTTTTTTTTAAGAATAAGACTTGTGCACTATGGTAGAGTATAATTCCATTATGGGTAAAATTTGTTTTGATAAAGTCTCAC